CACATTCATTAGTTCCAATATTTTTTTTTTTTTTTTTTTTTTTTGTGCCCAAAAAGGGGATCTCAACCCTTGGCTTGGTGTTGTCAGCACCACGCTCAGCCAGTGAGCAAACCGGCCATCCCTATATAGGATCCAAACCCGTGGCCTTGGTGTTATCAGCACCGCACTCTACCAAGTGAGCCACGGGCCGGCCCAAAAAAGTTTTTGTTTGTTTTTGTTTTTGCTTTTGTTTTTTTGGCAGCTGGTGGTAGTTTACTTTAAGAAGTTCAAGGAAAGATTTGTATTATCTTGCAATTCTATTTTCCACAAACTCTTTGAAGTAGCCTCATACTAGTAACATCCAAAAATGAAAGTAAGAGTTAGTTTAAGTGTCCCCTTTTCCAGGCAGTCTCCCATAACCTCTAGGGGGTCTTGTGTCTCCCACTAGGGGCTAGCACAGCCTTCCCTCCACCTAACATGGACCAGACTAGGTTGTCTTTGTCCCTCATCTTCCACAGCTCAGGCCCAGCACAGACGAGGCATCCAGGAAGCCCCAGAGGAGGGATGGAACATTGACCCTAGTGGGTGCTGGGGATTGTGGGTTGCCTGGAAGGTACAGGAAGCTGAAACAGAGTTCCCTCCGTGGTGTATTACATTCCCTGCAAGCTGTAAGGAGACCTGGCACCTGCGTCAGGGTGTGGGGAACTGCTGTGAACACAGATGGAGCCCACCACCTCCTCCTGGCTCCACACCTGGGCAGGTTACGGCCCCGCCCTGTTTCGACTCAGTGGCCAGGCAGAGGCAGGCCTGCAAAGGGCTCATTCCCACCTGGTCACTGTCCCACTGTGGGCAGGATGAAGGCTCTCAGGTGGCCACTGACTAACCTTGGGTGGGAAGGGCAGGTCATGACAGGGCCAGCTCGTGCTCCACCTTCTCCTCCCTTGGGAATGTCTTTGCTTCAGGACAGATGCTGACATCCACAGCCCTCTCCAGAGGATGGGCCCTCCAAAAGGAAGCCCATCCCTGCCACCCCAACTTCCTTGGCCCTTCCTGGCCCTGCCCTGCACCAGTGGGTGAGGTGGGTTGGCACCTGCCCAGGAGCCAGTGCCAGGCCAGGCCAGGAGCAGACAGGGGAAGTGGCGCTGAGGGTGAGGACAATGACGAACCATGGGGGCCTTGGTGACCACACAGCTCTTAGGGAATTTCAGCTCAGCTCACAGGCTCCAGCTCCACCCGTGCCTCCAAAAGCTGGGGGGAGTCCCGAGGGACATCCGCCCTCCTGGCTGGCCCGGCCTCCCTAGCTGTCTCCTTCAGTGCCCATGTTGCTGCCCCAGCCCCAGGGACCTGATGATTAAATTCCATCCATTCACCCCAGAGGACCCCACAGGCCTGCCTGCCAGCACGCTGGGTGGCCTCAGTCTACTCCTCTGTAGAGGCAGATGCCCAAAAGGGACTATCACTGTGCTGCTGGGAGTGTCAGCTGAGCCACCGTGGGTGAGAGCTGTGTAGGACAGTGCTGGAGACCTGGGTCCAAATCCCGCTCGGGGCCCTTCTTCTGCTAACCCCTTTCCTCAGCTCCTCCAGTGTAAAGTAGGCACAGAAAAGTCTACTCCTCAGAGACCCCTGACACCCCTCTGGGGAATCTGCCCTTGCAGAGGAGGGTACTAAGGCCACCCAGTGAGCTGGCAGCAGGGTGCTGCAGGGCCCTTTTCCCTGCAGCTGAGAGGCTGCTGCCTGGCTTAGGGCTCTGGAGACACACGGGACAGCATGGGGTAGCCAGAGCTGGTGTGGCTGATGGGCTCCATGTGCCCTTCTAGAAGGCATGTGATCTCTGTGTGTGTGCACATGTGTGGACATGCATTTGAGCCTGTATGCCTGTGTTGTCCACACATGTGCATGTGTGTGCGCTACCTGTGCTATCCTCCCCACCTTCTCTCAAAATTGAGACTGGTTCGGGTGACCCCGAGGTCTGCGGCCCCTGGGGTAAAATCAAAGCAAGCAGGTGAAAGCCATATTGTCCCACAGAGACAGCCCCACCGACTCCTACCAGATGCAGTCTCTGTGGCTGCCCCCTCCTCCGTCCAGGGCGTGAGCCCCGAAGGATGTGTGATCATGACCCACACAGGCCCACACTCAAGCTGTGGCTCCACACACCCTGTTATTGTCACAGATGGTGCACAGCTCACATGTAGGAGGGCATATTTGTGTGCACATGTGTGGGTGTGCACATGTGTGCATGTATGTGACAGGCATGAGCCTGTGCATGAGAGCGGGGTGGTGGCCCTGTGGGGCTGGGCTCCTGCAGGCTCTCCCCTGACACCTGCAGACATGGCCCTGGCTGTGGTGAGGGAGCCGGCACCTCGTGTGACCACAGTGTCAGGGACTTACTGTTAGCAGTGACCAGGCCAGCCCCATTTGTGAGAGTCGCAGGTTGGGTGGGGCTGGGGGCCTGAACCCAAAAGGAGAAGAGAACAGGCCCCCCCAGTGCAGTGCACTCATTCATACACTTGTACGTGTGCACTCACACTCAGCACTTACACTCACACACACCGCCGTACACATCATGCTCTCACTTTCACACGCATGCTCACACACACACGCACACGTACTTGTCCACACTCACACGTCATGCTCACACTCACACACACGCAAGCACTCATTCACACTCGTACGTGTGCACTCACACTCAGCACCACTGTACACATCATGCTCTCACTTTCACACACACGGCCACACACGCATGCTCACACACACATGCACACGTACTTGTCCACACTCACACGCATGCTCACACTCATACACACGCAAGCACTCGTTCTCACGCGTGCACGTGCACAGCCACCATGGGCTAACAAGACCCTTCATGGGTCCCCAGTGCCCTGGGCAGGCAGTGTAGGCCAGGTCAGAATTGTGGTCAGCACCTCCCAGCCCCACACAGGCCCAGTGCCAAGTTCTGCTTTTCAGCTCATTAAATCGCACGGGGCCCCCGGAGCCTGGGCTTTCCTCCCTCTTACAGAACAGGACAGCAAGGCCGGGAGGGGCTCAGAACCTGCACCAAGCACACTGGGCCAGGCGCCGTGCTTCTCACCCCAACACCCCAAGGTCCCGACCAGTGTCAGCCCCATGTCACCGACGAAGACACTGAGGGTGAAAGAAGCTGAGTAACTCCCCCAGAGTCACACAGCCAGTAAACGGTGCAGTCCTCACTGCCACCCCGCCCCCACCCCGGCACAGTCGCCAGTCACTTCCCCAGCATGGCACACGGTGGGCGGATTCTGCCGAGAAGCCCCTCGCTGCCCCGCCTACACCAGCTCACTTGTTCTCCCTTTCAGTCTCAGTCCCGCGGTGCCCCCTTCCCTCTCCCCCCTTCCCAGAGTCTTTCTCTGTAAGAGAATCAAAACCAAAAATCTCCCGTAAAGGCCCAACGACCAGCCACGCCGGAGAACCCACTGCTGGCCAGGGGAGGGTGCACAGCCTGGGCTTCACGAGGACAGTCCCCGCCCAGCGCCCCCGCCCAGCGGGCCCTCCACTCTGCTGGCCCCTGAGCACGGCACTCCCCAGGCGGGCAGTGGGAACCTCACGAAGCTCTCTCTGTCCCCCAGCACACATACACTCACTCATACATGACCTCTGTGAACACGGGACCCAAACACCAAGGCCACCCCAGGCGGGGTGTATAGTGGGAACCTGGACCCCCACCCCAGCAGGCGGGCCCTGCCCCCTGCCAGCTTCAGGCTAGAGGCACATGACAGGGGCAGGGGGGGGGTCTAGCAGCAGTTTCCCTCTCTGGGCTCCCTCTGTGCCCATCCAGCTCTACGGGCTCTCAAGCCAGACAGGGGTTACTGTCCTCAGAGCCTGTTGCCTCTGGCAGGCCCAGGGCCAGACCCTCTGGGCCCCACCACCAGCCCTGAGGAGGGCCGTGGCTCCCACGTGGGCCCCCCAGCGGTTCTGTGAGTGCAAGGCCAGGGCTGCCTCCCAAGCCCCCAGTTCCCACTGACCTGATGGCACTGACCCAACACATGGTTCTCCTGCCCGGTGATCTGCTGCGGGCAGATGTCCTGGGGCCCAGGGAGGCCATGCACCTCAGGGGCTGCGAGGCAGAGCCATGGACTGCATCTCGCAGGCACGGGATGCCTGATGACCCTGGCTGCCCCCATGCACTGCCCAGCTCGCTGTGGCTGAAGCTCACTCCAGCTGCATGTGGGGCCTGTGGCCGCCACGGCTTCCTCCCCGCCCAGGACTTCCTGTTGCCAGCTCCCTGGGCAGCCCCAGGGAACCAGCACTTCCTGCCTTCCACCCTGCAAGGTCCTGAAAGCCAGCAGGGCCCAGGGCTGTGTGCCATCAGCGCTACTCAGCCTGGGGTTTCAGCTCCCACCCCCCACTGCTTCCACCCCCCCACCCCATGGTCAGAGACCATGAGACCACGGCTCTTTGGGCTCCAGGGCGAGGCCAGCTGTGCCCCCAGGAGGAAGCCTCCACCTATCCCCTGTGGCCACCTCTGCCTGCCTGGCTTCTCTCCAGCAAACCACAAAGCCCCTCACAGCCTAGAAGGGAGCCAAGGCTCCCACATGGGGAGTCCACTACCTCGCTAGCGAGCCTCTTCCCCCAAAGCAGGCACCAAGGCCACACAGAGGGCTGCGCCTCCTTCCCCAGGGGCCTGTGGATTCCAGGCAGCCATCTCTGTGCCCTTCAACACCAACGGACTGAGGGACCGGGTCCAACCGTGGGCCCAGGCATTTCTCAATCACCCTCCCCGCAGGGCACCTTTGTGCCCCCTCTCCACGCCAGCTCTGCTTAACATCTAGCAAAGCACGTTCCTGTCACTGCCTGGCCCCTGCCTTGGGTCCTGCTCAGAATCTGGCCCGTCCTGGGCCTGCTCTGCCCCTGCCAAACCCAGCTGCCTTTCCTGCCAGGGTCCACAGCCAGGAAGCTGGGCAATAAGGATTCCAGCACAGGCCACTGGGTGCTGAGCCCGCTGCCTCTCCTTCCCTGAGGAGAGTCTCCCCTGAGTCCCAAAGTCTGAACTCTTCCAGAGAGGACAGGACCCTTGGGAGGAGGCAGCGGAGAAAGGAGTTTTCTGGAGCCTGGGGCCAGCCTCATGGCCAGATTTGAGGGTGACAGAGGCCACAGAACACAGGGCTCCCAGGAGCTGCAGGGCCTCATCTTTCCTAGGGCACAGCCCCCCAACTCTACACTCCCACCTCTGCCCGTGGTTCTGGCTCCAACAGGCCCTAGACACCAACCCCCTATAGCTGTCCCAAAGGCCTGGGTGTCACGGCACCCAAAAAGCGACTCCCAAACTGAGGAGTCTCTGCCTCCCAAGCTGTGTCTGAAGCCCCAGACCTGCGGCGGCCCCTGTGCTGCCTGAGCTGCACATCACCAGCTATTTCCTAGAGGGTGCAGAGCTCGGGCTTCTGTGTCTGAGGCCTCCTTAGAGTAGGCACAGCTATCCTGGCCTCCCCCAGCCAGTGCCAGCCTCAGTGCCCTCAGGTGGCCAAGGGCAGACCACACCTTCAGCAGAAAGCTGGACGTGACAGACAGATGGCGGCAAGCGGGGGGTGGGGGGGCTCGAGTGGGGCCTCTTCCCGTTCTCCTTCCCCTTTGCACCAGGGTTGAAATAAAATAGCAGCTGAGGAACCCCTGGGCCACAGGCCAGCCAGGAAAAGCCGGGGGGACATTCTCAGATGGAGTGTGGTTATCAAGGAGCTGTGGGGTCCAGAGGAGGTGCGAGGCCCAGTGGGTGCTGGATCAGGGGAAGCCTCCCCGAGGAGGGGCCCAGGTTTGCTGGAACAAGGGTGGAGTGAGGGAATCACAGGCTGGAAGGGGCTCAGGGTGACCACATCCCAGCACCGAGAGGAATCCACCGGCAGTGAGGTGGCCATGGCCTAGGGAGGCTGGGGGCTCAGATTCGAGGAGGAAAACCCACCAAGATGAGAACCGGGAGCCAGCCAGAGAACGTGCCCCTCTTCCTGGACAGACAAATGGAAGGATGGACGAGGCCTGAGGTTGAGGTGGGAGCCAGACCCATGCCCTGCCACATCAGGGCCCCATGCTTGCAAACGCAGCACAGGTGGAAGTGAGGAAGGGCCACGCCCAACCTTGGGTCCAGCCCTGTGATGCTCTAGGACGAGTCCCGGCCCAGAGGACAGAAACAGGCTGCATGAGGAGACCCCGGGGGGCAGACCCACACTGGCTTGCCAGCCACTCCAGCTTCCCAGAGAGTCCTGTGCAGCTGTGTGACCTCTGCAGGCCCCTTCTCTCTGGGCCTCAGTTTCTCCAAGTGCCCTCTCATCTCCTGATGAAGTATTTCATCCCTGCAGCAAATAGAGCTGCTATTCATATTCCTGAAAACAGAGGGCATTCAGGCCCCCTCCCTCTATAATGGTGACTCCATGACCTTTATCCTGTGCGGGTAACTATGGAGATGACCCCACACTAGCATCCATGCAGGGAGACACGTGCGGCTGGAGTTGCCAGCATCGGGCAGCCCTGGTCTCCAACTCCATCCTCCCTAAGCTGCAGTTTCTCCCCTGCCCCTGGGCTGGTGCCTCAAACTACCAGGTTTGGGGATCTCCTTCCATGCCAAATGCAGGACACTTACCAGGGTGGTGGGAGCTGGTGGGTGAGAGCCAGCTGGTGGGGCCAGTCAGGGGGCCAAGAGTTAACCTGCAACAGAAGAGGGAGGGAGAGCTTTCATTCTGGGTTCTGAGGGGCCCTCAGCCTGCTCAGGAGCGAGGCAAACAGCCAGTCACACACAGAGCTGGCCCTGCGCTGGCGCCTCATGCCTCAGGGCACCTGCCTCATCTCAAGAGGCTAGCCCTGTTGTCATCTGCACTCAACTGATGAGGAGACTGAGGTTCAGAGAGGAGGACACTCGCGGGGCCAAAGGCCTGGGGTCAGTGGCTTGGTGCCTGCACGCTGCCTTCAGCAGCAGCTCAGGCACTGAATGTGGGCACTGAGCCCAGGGAAGGGGGGGCAGGCACCCCCAGTGGGGAAAGCTTCAATCTCTCAAAATAAGACATTTTGCATCAGCCCCTCCCATAGGGCCTGGATCCACCCCGCAGCCAGCCCGAGGACCCACCCGGGTTCTCCCTGACCAGGATCCCCCTCCCCTCTCTGAGCCTCATTTTTCTCTCTGTCTGATGAGGCAGGGCTGAGAGGACTCCAGAGAACTCAGTATTGGGCACTATCTGGTTGGAGATAAGATTTTTTGGTCAGAGAGTGGGTGGCCTAGAGGACACATAGTGTAGTGGGCTAAATGATGGACCCCAAAAAGATATCTCCACATCCTAGTCCCTGGAACCTGTGAACATGACCTCATTGGGAAAAAAGGTCTTAGCAGATGTCATTAAATGAAGAATCTCATCCTAGATTAGCCGGGTAGGCCCTAAATCCAATGACAAATGTCCTTATAAGAGATAGAATGACACACATGGAAAAGACCATGTCAAGACGGAAAAGAGATTGGAGTGATGTAACCACAAGCCAAGGAGCCACCAGAACCTGGGGGAGACGAGGAAGAATTGTCCCCTAGAGCCTCGGGAAGGAGCACGGCCCTGCTGACACCTTGACCTTGGACTTCTGGCCTCCAGAGCTGTGAGAGAGTAAATTGTTGTTGTTTTCAGCCTTCCAATGCGTGGAACTTTGTTCGGGAAGCCACAGGAAATGAATTCACACGAGACTCCCCCAAGTCCTGTCCCAGGATGAATGCAGGCTTCCACTCACAGTCTGGTCCGAGGTCGTGGGTATGCCCGTCAGCAACAGGCTGGCTCTGCAAGGCTGCATCCAGCTGCATGGCGTATCCCTGAGCTGGCCTCCCTGGATATCCAGCCTCCTGGCAGCCTGGCTCACCACCTCCGACCCTGCCCATGCACGGGGTCCACCAGTCCAGCATGCCACACCTGGCCCACACCACCAGGCTTGCTGGCCCCACCTCCTGGCCTCTCATTCAATTCTCGGACCTGTCCTTCCTCGGCTCAGTTAAGCTACTTCCACCAGGCAGCCGAGGCCAGGCTGGTTCCCTGGCCAAGTGCACAGGGTGAGGCCCCCGCTTCCTGCCCTGGGCCCCTGCTTCTGGGCCTGTCCTGTAGGACCACTTTGCCCCATTCCTGGCACCTCCAATCTCTTCCACATGGAAACTGAATGTTCCCTCAACTTCGAGGACAAAACCATTAAGACGCTTGCCCTCTTCTCTGAAATCTCCATATCAATGGCACAGCCCTACCCACCAATGTCACCACATGTGTCCCCAGCACTCCCCATCGGCCCGGGTCCCACTGAATCCCCAAGGCCCAGGTGGGTGCTGGCCCATGGCAGGACCCAAGAGATAGAAGGACACATAGATGGACAGATGAGTTCAGTATTGCGTCCACACACAAGGCCAAACCCCCTACATGGCTGTAACCAGCACAGAGGGAAGAATCTGTGACTTAGAGCTGATCTGGCCCTCAACAAGAGTCTTTCAAAGAACTGAGGTCCAACATTGGTGCAGCCAAGGCCCATCCATGCCCACGACCTCTGCTCGGTGAGACAAGCTGCCGGCCAGCACCGGGCAAGTGTGCAGGCTGCTCACTGCAAAATGGAGAAAGGCTGGTGCACCAGAGTTGGCAAGTGTCCCCAGGAGACGCAGGGGCTTTGAAGGGCATCCAGGGTGTAGGCAGGACATAGCTGGTCACTCCTGAGGGGACTCACACTGCCCACACATCCTCGGATGCCTCACCAGGGCCTTCCTCTCCCAGGTCTGGCATCTCTGTCCCCAGCCAGTGTCCCCAAGCGGGGCTGCAGCGTCTCTCTAGGGTCCAGGGCAGACTGGCCATGAGAGTCGGGGTTCCTGGTGGCCCTGCACCTGGCGCCGAGGTCTGGCCTGGCCAGGAACGGGCAGCTGGAGGGAGGCTACAGAGCAGGGGCTCCAGGCCAAGGCTGACACAGTGGCAAGGGTGGGGTGTGGCTGGGGACAGCGAGGCCAGGTCCGGGGGGCGCGCAGTTGGGCTTCATCGCTCGCTAGCCTGGAGCCACTCTCCTGCATCAAACCACAAGCCAGCAGAGGCGGTTCAGGATTCACACTTCAGTTCATCATAA